ACTCTGCTCTTTCTAAATGATCTTTCTATCAAATCCTGGACAAATTCCAGGCCATTCCTATCGTGCCATTGTTTATGAAAGAAAAGTACAGACTGTCTCTATGATTTCACATGCTAGGATTTACTGTCATTGTGTATGTCAATGATGGTTTTCCAGTTATCTTTTTATAATTCACTTTCACTTATTCCAGAGAGTTGGACTACTATACTAGTAGTCTGTATTAGAAGAATAAATGACATAACATAATCCTAACCAATTAAGCAGGCTGTATATTCTAGATTCAATTCCTCCCCCCCCAATTCACCATAGCATGTAGTAGTTGAATGATTTTAAAGCATCTAGGAATCCAGAATCATTCAAGGCACAGGCTCTAAATGGGAAATACTAATCAGGGTAGAGGGAATTTAATGGAGCAGAATACTGTTCATGTTCTTCACTGGCCTTTTGGTTAGGGTGTCAGCTGACCAGAGCAGCAGAGGAAAAATCTCTTCCTCTACCTGTCTTAGCTTTTCAGGCTGAGGCTCTGTAAGCTGGACTGACAAAGGCTAGATTAATAAGAGAAAGCATACACATTTATTTAATGTAAGTTTTGCATAACACTTGAACCTTCACAAGGAAATGAAGACCTTAAGATGTTGTTAAGTCTAAGTATTTTTATAGTGAGTTTAATGAAGTGTGGAACATCATAGAAAATGTGATATGACAAAAGCATAAAAGGGTAGTCAACTAGTAGCTAGGATGCTCAGTAAGACCTGATTGTTCAGATCCCTCTCAGCTTCCCTCTTTGAACACAAGGGTGCTCATTTCCTCTGCGCATGGGGAGGCAGCTCTCACATGAGGGTCTTCTGACCTGCCTTAGGTGAGTCTGCAGAATTCAGAGTCCTTCCCAAACCTGCCATTTTTCAAACTTGTTCAGCTTAAAATATTCAGTATACTACTGTATCATATTTTAGAGTAGCTGTCTCAGAAAATAATAAGAATATAAATTCTGATACAGACTAAAATTTCATGTCTATAATAATTTCCCTGGCAAATTAAATACATTCTAAAATTGAGCACTTTGGGACTCTTTCTGGTTATCATCAGCCATATTTACATGAATGAAATGCCGGTAATTGCCTCCATTAATTATTATACACTAAAAAGGAAGATAAAGAAAAATATATATTTACCTATGGTAGGAAATGTTTGCTGAGCATCAATAGTGTTTTATTTACCTAGGGAGATGGGTTTTATCCTAAATGATAAAATACTTGAGAAATTATTGGTGAAAATGTCCATTTTTCTTCTTTGTTTCATTGAGTACAAAATAAACTGTCAGCAAAGAACAAATAAGTAATGACTGGTAATATTGAGTTTTAATATCCATCATTTCTTTCTGTGTCCCATCAATCACCCTTGAATTCATGAAGAATAGAATTTTTAATGTCCTAGAAAGCTCCATTTCTTTCTGTTAGCGGAGGGTTTATGGGGAGAAAAAGAGGAAGTGAAGTGAAGGGGAACATGCCAGGGACAGGAAACCCTCAGCTAATGGAGAGCTGTGAGCATTGTGTTCTCTATCCTCCTCCCTGGTCTAGCATCATTCCTCCAAACAAGCAGTGCCATTGTCTGATCTATCCCTGACTGTCAAGTCTCAACTCTTTTTTAAAACCAGCCTCTACCTATGTCAACACATGATGTTTCTGTTCAAAGAAAATAATAATGGGTGGAGAGAATCCAACTCTTGGAGGCACAGGTTTGGCTTTTTTAAACATTTTTAAAATTGTATATAAAACAACTCCTTTCTATCTATAATTTTCATTTTTCATAACCAAAGTCTCAGCTCCTGGGCAAATTACCACTGACATTCCAAGGAGGGTGATGTGTAATATTGTCACATTTTTCATATAGGTAAATTTGATGGTTTAATACTGAATTATGCAAAACAAGAAGCAGTTGGTTAAATTAAACTTTAAAATGAAGCCGTAAATTATTAGAATATCTGAATAATGAAATGGAAATTTAAATAAAAAAAGCATAGGCATGGAAAAGAAGAGTTCAATCAAAATGGGTTTGCTTAAAAAATGATTGTATGTAATCTCTCAACACTATTTTTGTATGAACATTGAAGATGCAATTGCCCATTATTTATTGTATGCATTTAATGAATATTTTATAAGGTCTGAGCAAGCACTACATTTACATGGGGTATGACCACTAATAAAGGAAAAGGCCTTTGATATAAAAATCCATCAGATTCTTCCTGATATTATCTGCAGATTAAATGTTAAGTAAATGTTCATTTCTGTAGGGGTAAATAGTATTCGTGTTTGTTAACAAGGGTCATCCACTAACGTAATACTTTTAGAAATCAAAAAGACAGAGGCTGAATCCACAAAATATACTTTATTTTCATCCCTAATTACTTTTGTTAAAATTATAGTACATGATTCAAATCTATGACTGTCTTCTAATCTATGGATGCCTTTTCTACTTTTATTTTCTCTGCACTTTTTCTGTATGCATAAAGACAATGAAAAACAGACATAAAGAAAAGCATTTACATGCATGGAACATGACAGACTCCTATCACTATTTCTTACCGCAGATTTTTTTTTGTGATGATCACAGAGTTGACCTAAAAATTTTCGATGTCATCTTGCCCATCATTTTAGACATGTTCTTAGTCAGAGAATTAATTTTTAAATCTATAACATTATACATAGATTTCCACGATGATAATTGTTATAACTTAAAAAAGTTTAAACAAGTATGATCTCTTATAATACCTTTTTGAGGTGCTCAACAAAACTTTAAAAAATGCTTTATTTTAAAATGTTCAAGGGTGTAAGCCATTTATCACAAAATGAATAAAATTTAGTCTCCAGTTATGTTGCTCATATTTAGCAGAAGTCTTATCTTCAACATTTAACTTGATATATATTTAGGAGAGATTTTTAAAAACTGTTTTTTTACATTTTATCTCTGCAAAAAAAAATGGTTCTGAGATGTCCTATCAGGCATCCACTATGTAAAAACACAAAGAAACTCTTACAATCAATCTTTCTAAAATTATCTTTGAAGTTCTGGAACAAGTCTCAGTTGGCTCTCTCTTCTTTGGTTATGTCTCAGTGGTAGATCAGAAGATTTGAGAATTGAAGGGCTTTTTCAATTATACAATAAGCAGCAGGTTTCCATTAAAGCACAAAGTCATCATCTAACTGTATGCGAGGTGTTGTTATAAATAAGTGTAACAGGTAGATCTTTGACTGATTCATTTATTTCTGATATTAGTTGTGTGATTCTGAAGTCTAATGTAAAATATATTTATCAGTTCATAAAATGCTTATATATTTTCTTTAAGTGTGTTCCAAACTTCTTCAGCCTTCCAAATGCTTTCTTAAGCTTATGGTAATTAATTTAGCCCATAATTATACACAATGTTTTCTAACTCTTCTTGGTAGCTTCCATGATTATCAAGAATTTCAATGTGTTGGTCGAGTAGTGTGACATTGGTACAGATATATGGATCATTGTTAGCATTGTCAAGGAAAATCAAAGCTGGGCAATAATTAAAACATTCAAAATAGATTTATGTAGGAACTATTGCAATGGGGGAAAGAGAACTCAGTTTAGAACGGGTCTGAATTCCAAATGCAGCAGGGGACATCTGGGAATTTAAAGCCAAGAGGCAGTCTGGGTTCAGTGGATGGAAAACTACTGAGAGGAAATAACAGGAGTAGCAGGAATTCTGGTTTAATTCGACTTAGTAGGGTATTTCATGAAGGTAGGCCAGGTAACTAGAGGACACTTACGGGAGACTGGGGAACAATACCACTGATGATGAAATATCTAGTGTGGAGATTTACTCTAAACTGACTCAGCAGATTCTTGCTAAACTGGGTGAAACAGAGATGAACACAGAAGCTAAAAGTCAAGACCTTGTTCAGAGGAAGGTTTAGAGGAGCCTGACTCAAATTTGGTTAAATTTGGTTAAGGAGAGAGTCATTTTCTCTCTCTCTCTCTCACACACACATACGCACAAACACACACACACACACACACACACACACTAAAAGGAAGATAACTATTATACAGTAATTTTTCCAAGTTTATTTCTTTACTTCAGAATGCCCTTATCTCCTAGTAATGAAATTTTACACAAGGGAACTGTACAAAAGAAACACTGAAAATGTATCATAAATGTATATATTTAAGAAAAATGTGGAGAATTTAGAGGATATACCAAAAAAGTAATAAAAAATAATAAAATGTTCTAAATAATTTGAATTAGACAAAATAAAAGTGACTAAAACACATTCAACTGTGAAAAGCTAGAGGTAATAACTCATAATACTTAATAACTAATACAGACATCAGAGATGTTTTCTTTTTAAAGATGAAAAGGCTAAATCCCAGAAAATTACAAAACCTTTAGTAAAAAGACCTATAACTAATACCAACTGTTTAACCAGAACAAATCAAGAAGATTCTACATCTGGTTTATATTCCCATTATATCAAGAGCATTATTTTTTCCCAGCTGGCATGACTCAGTGGTTGAGCATCAACCTATGAACCAGGAGGCCATGCATGGTCCATTCCCTGTCAGGACAGATGCCTCGGTTGTAAACTTAATCCTTAGGGTGGGGTGTGCAGGAGGCAGCTGATCAATGACACTCTCATTATTGATGTTTCTCTCTGAAATAAATTAAAAATATATATATTTTTAAAAAGAGCCTTATTTTTACTTCAGTGCAAGATTTGTTGAAATACACTTCAGATTTGGACATATTTATTCCAGAGAATTAACTGGCATTGTTTTTCACTCTAGATACACATTTTTTTTAATAGAACTTTCTCTTATTATCCTCATTTTTTGTGGTTAATGCTGTGTAATTAGTCACCTTCAGAAGTAAAATACTCACTAAAATCTATTAAAAATTGATGGAAGTACCATGGTGACTATCTTATTGAATAATTAGTGAATTTCTATTAAATTGAATTTATTTTTTTTTCCAGCAATGACAATGCAGTTTATTAGCCATCAGTTCCCTGATTATCATGATCCCACTATTGGTGAGTAAAAAACTATTTTCTTCTTTAGCTCAAATAAAGATATCCTAAATAAATGGCTTACAAATATTGTTGATATCTATGGAGTATAAGAAATGTATTTTATACCATGGCTCGGCACATACACGCATTAATATATGCAAGTCACCACAATTATAGCTTCAAGAAACAATATTTGTTGTTACTTCTTGCTATGCATTATCATCTTTTCCATTATATTCTATTTCTTTCTGATAAATGATGGTTGGAATACATTAACTAAATTTTGATTTCAGGATCCATTAGTGGATATCTATTGCATTTAATATACTGTGCTCTGGCTAATAAAACTGATATGGTTATGTGTTTTTTACTTGGTCATTTTTTTCACTTTATCAGTGTCTGGATCTTATAGTACACAAGTAGTTTACCATGCTAATGGTGCATTTGGAAAGAACTCTAGATATAGATGTAATTTTGTTTACCCTCCACATTTTGCAGATGAGGAAACCGAGACTCAAAGAGTCAAATTATTGTTAGAATAAAAAAATCCAGCCATGTTTCATTCTTCTATGCAATTTTGTTTTTAACACATCAAGCGCAGGAACATTGCAATTGGGAACGCCGTTTCTTCCTCAATTAAAGCAAAAATATGTCTGAAAACTGCTTTATTAATCATTCAAAGAGCCACTTTAAAGAATCCTTTGAAAATTTTTAAGCAGTCTGTCACAGCATTCTTTGCCTAGAAACACATTCATATTGAAGACATACCTAGCATTATTTCATGGCATCGAAAAACAAATAGCTTCTGGCTCTTCATGGTTTAGATTATGAGTTCCCTTGACTATACCTCATCCTTTCACCCTTTTAGTTGATCTGAATATCTCGTATCCTTACAATGGGTGTGATCCTCATTTAGCAATTTTAATTCAAAGTCTTACTGTGTATATAAAATAATATTCTATAAATAATTATCTTGTATATCTTCCTGCAAATCCTCCAGGATATTTCCTGAAAAGTACTGCTGAAATAAATGAAATATACTCATTTTTAAATGTCCCATAATTCAGCAAGACCTCTTCATCAGTTGAACTGAATTAGTAAGATTTAAGTGCAAGAAATTAATATGTTGTTCAACAGAAAGTACTTACTCAAAGAGTTAACTTTTTATTTCTGAAGTAAAAATAATCACTTTGCAAAGTTTTAGAAGTAATTAGCTACAGGCCATGTTTAATAATCCTCTAAATCCATTTTCTTATCTCAATTCTGGAACATTGATAACTTTGTATACCTATTATGAATTACAGAAGACAAGAAATCTCTGGGCAAAATCTCAGAATCTTTTAACTTATTGAAAAATTCAACTGTATATCATTTATAAAATCACAAATCACTCTGTTCATCATTTTCCATCACTTTTTAAGCTTTTATGCACTGGTATTTAAAAAACCTACCTTCTTGGTCACTAGACTCTCATGTCAATGGCTTGCATAGGGCAATGTATGTGAATACATCATAAATATCTCCTTCAAGAGTAATGAAGGAGAATATAAAGATGATTCCTTTAGATAATCAAGAGGCACATCCTTTATTTGAGATTCCATACTCACAAAGGTCTGAAGTCATACCTTAACATGGCTATAAGTAAAATAGCTTTAGGAGAAGTTTTAAAATGGAGACAGAACACTTGATTACTTTCAATTCGATTTTCCAATCATTTCATTTCTTGGCAACTCTGATGGAAATAGACTTAAACAATTTTCCATTGGTATTCTGTTTCAGGAATGTACAGGTCCCAAAAAATTTACTTTTCTCCTGCTCACGCTACATAACTATAACTGAGTCAGGCTGACTTAATGGCCCCTCAAGAGGAAATTTCTATTACTACATTTTGAAAATAATACAAATTGGAGAAGAATACACTTATCAAGGATACTTATTTCATGATTTATATAATAAATGACTATTTTTCAATTCCTGTTCAGATCTATTTGTCATACTACTGAATGAGACTTTGAATAGTTTTTCTCTGAAATCTTTGAAAGATTTGTTTGAAAGATTTGTTTGGATTTATTATCTCACTATATGCAGCTTAGAATTATTTTTCTTTCAAATCTACATAACTTCAAAAATTTAGTTTCCCTTTAGCCTTGAGAAGAATTAGACATGTTGTCTAGTACCAATGTTCTTCCCAAAGAAATAATTGATCCATTTAAGTAGAAACAACATTTTCAAAGTCAGTAACCAACGGGTCTAGCTTCTGCAAATCCACAGAAAATACTTACAAAGGGAATATTGAAATGTGTTGATTCTACTCTTCTGTGTGATGAAATGTCACTTAAAAATAAATTAAATTCATGCTAAAGTATTAAATATGAATAAATTCAAGGTTTAATTTAATCTTTAAAATATTCTACGTCTAAGTATTAAAAATTGTGTTAAGTACACTTCTCTTCTTCTATAGTAAAATAATTATGGAAATAAAAAAAATTGACCAAAGTTCTTGATATCCAACCTTTCATACTAATAAACACACATGTCATTTTTAATTAATAGTAAATTATTAGAAGTAAGCACTGAATGCAATCCAATCAGCAAACAATACTTAAATGCCTGATATTTACAAAGGAATCTGTTTATCCTTTAGAACTAAATTAGTTTCAAGAAAGTTTTATTGCAGGAAGAGGATTTAAACAAATATACAAATATTTAAATCTTCGAAGCCAGTTATTACTGTAAGAAAGAAGCAAACTGTTAAGGAATTTTGAAAGAATGGAGAGGCAGTTTAATGACCCTCTCTTAACCTTTATTTAGGATCACAGCTTCCTATATGTTTTAAAAGCTAAGAAATTCCAGCCATCTAGTCTAGAATTCAAGATTCTTTGAGAATTTTCCAAGAAATCTGGATTTCTTAAAGACATTTGAGACAATGACCAAGGACATTTTGTTTTGCTATATATTTTTAATCATATTGTAACTTGCTTGAAATTAAAAATCTTATTGTATATACTTCTAATTTAATATGAATTAGATCTCAAGGTATTGATATTTTCTGCTATAGAATATTGTGTCCCTTTCCCCAGGTTTTAAATATACAGGACTGTATATTTAGTTTAAATTATTATTTATTGATAACTTCCTATGTTCAGAATTATTTCTATTCATGTTCACTGATAATCAAATAAATGCAAACATAGAAAACAGAAAGTAAGCATATAAAACCAGGCTACTTCATTTGGCAAATTAATACAGAAGGAAACAACATATGATCTCAAATAGCATACTCTGAGCAATGCTTGATAAGCACTAATACTTGATAAAAAATTCTGAACCCTAAAGGATGTGCATTCCTTCTAAGTTACATCATGTGTGTAATTTTCTCACTCTCCTCAAAGTGTTATTTTTGCCCCCTTCCTCTGCAAACCTATAAAACTTTATATTCACCTGTTATGTGCTAGGTCCCATGCTACACACTAGATATATAGGAATAAAAACACAATCTGTGACTTCCATGCATTTCAGGTTGGGTTAGAAAATTAATAAGTATACAAGACCATGTGATGAGTTCATTAGGGAAAAAAAGCACAAAATGCTGAAGGAGGACAATGAAGGTATATCTTGCATGATCTGAAGTGACATGAAGTCTATGTAGAATTCAGCCCTCTGCACTGAATTTTGAAGGATGCATAGAAATTAGGCAAGTGAAGAGGAAGTAAGAATAGATAATCTCAGAAGAACAAAAAATAGAGGCACCCAAATAAGACAATGCAACATGTAACTAAGATGGAGAATTTGGGGAACCAGAAATCCTAAGGATGAAATAAATGACATAATGTGCAATTTGGCAAAAGGAAGGAAAAGATTTGTCAGATCTTTAAAGAGTGTAAAGAACCAGCTAAGGGTTTAGATAGAGATAGTTCTGTACTTTTTCTCTGAGATAAAAATGAATATTGCTGGCAGTCTACTTAATTTTCACATTTAGATAGATCCAAGGCAGACAAAAGTGAACATGCCTGACTTTAAATAATAACTAATTATCCCTTCTAGACTTTACTTCCTTCAGGATTCTTAATCATGGCAAAATCTTTAATTTTATCAGGCTTTCAAGCCAGAAACTCAAGAAAAATGCTTGATAGCTATTTCAACTTCTACATTACATCAGTCATCAAACATTGTGGTTTTTCTACCATCTGAAAACATATTGAATCTTTCCCCATCTCTCCCTAATTTCTGCTGCCTTCTTATTCTAAGTCACCTCCATATCCAGTTTGGAGTAGTTCTAATTGGCTTTTACACAGGGTCCAGAAATATCTGTTTAAACACAAATTTGCACTGTGAACAGTTCTCAATGTTATCAGTTATGTTTGGGATGAAGAATAAAATTCTAAGAGTGGAGTGAAAATTCTCATGGTCTTGTTACTTTCATTTTCACACTTGCTACCCACCACCTCTTAGGGGGCTTCAACTGCATCTGCCTTCTTTTAGATTCACAAACCAGCCAAACCTCTTTCTGCCTCAGGACATTTTTGCAAATATTTTAACTCTGAATGCTCTTTACCTCTCCACCCTCCGTTTTGCCTGTTTAACTTATACTTTGATCAAATTTCAGCTTAAACATTACTTCCTCAAGAAGTCCCTTTGAGGGTATTATAAGTAAAAAAAAAGTCCGACAGAAAAAGACAAATACCATATGATTTTACTTTTATGTGAAATCTATAACAAAATAAACCAAATAGAAACAGACAACAGACTAACAGTTGGGAGTGTAAGAGTACTGCATGAAAAAGATGACAGTATTGAGTAGTATAAATTGGTAGTCACAGAGATGAAGATTACAATATACGGAATATAGTCAATAATATTGTGATAACTATGTAGGGGGCCAGGTGGGTACTTGAAGCATCAGGGGGCCACTTTGTAAAGTATATGACTTTCTAGCCACTTTGCTGTGCACCTGAAACGCATACAGAATGATATTGAATGCAAATTGTAATTGAAAAATAAAAATAAGTAAAAGAAAGTCC